GACTCGTTGCTAGAGAAAACTTCTATATCTGTGTTATTGACAAACCCAAGTTTCAGGTCAAGAGTTACCGAATGTTGCACAGCTTTCTTCAAGTTTGCGACTGTATCATTTTGGAGCCAAATGGTCCGGTCATCCACAAAAATCCCAGTTTTTATCTGAGGAAAGTGCAGATGCATCTGAGAGGTCCACGCAGCACAAGAAAAGGACAACCCTGAAGAAGACCGCGAGTGGGCTTCAAAGGAATTGAGGGGACACACCCATCAATCTCCGAACAGTGTTTGGGGGAAGTTGAGTGCGTGCTTTGTCACTACTGCCCTTTGGAGAGGAGGGTCAGCCCGCACCACCAGAAAGAAACAGACTCAGCGTAACAGCATGAATGCCTTGCGTAACCTGAAACTGCCTGATCATCTCAGCTTTTTGTTTCCTTTGATCCCGATACTCGTGGACTTGATCACTCAGTAAAATCCCGCATCAGCTGTGGCGCCTGAAAACCTGGCGCTTCAAGCGCAAACCAAATGGGAAAAGCTGTGGCTTCAACCAGAAATAGGATTTCAGGAAGACATTAGTGCTTTTGCTGAGCAACATAGTGAGTTTCCAGATGTAATTATCACAGCTAATGACGTTTTAAAGTCAGCGCAAAAAAGCCGCAGGTCCGGATGGATGGAAGGGATCGGATTTTGCATGTTTGCCTGGGCAAGTCTTTGAGCCTTTGATTTGCCTCTGGAACCAGTGCCTTTCCGAGAGCCGCCTGCCTGAGGGCTGGGCTGAAGCTAGAATTCTGTTTATCGACACCTTACGGTGGAAAACGTCCGCTCAGCATTGCTTCGCTGTGCTGGGAGGCTGTTGACTTCAACATCTCTGCGTAAACTTGCACCTTGGATTCAAGCATGGGCTCACACTGACTTGTGTGGTGGTCTCCCTGGGGACAGGCGAGCTGACACGCTGCATGCTAGACTTTCTCGGGACTTAGCTGTTGGAGAACCTGGATTTCGCAATGCTGTTTTGGGCTCTAAACAAGGCCTTGCCAAATGTTTTGACAATACTTGCCATGTCCAGGCTATTTCCATCCTGGCCAAGCTTGGGCTTCCTTGTAAACTGGTGAAAATCCTATTCCACTTTTTTGCCGAAAACATAATCCAAGCCGACGCGCCCACCGCAAGGAGGTGTATAAGGCGCGACGAGCTGCCATTCGAAGGCACGATCCGTCCCTCACTGCCATTCTGTTTCAATGTGACGGAGCGTGCGTTTTGGAAGCTTTCACTGGCATGCTAGCTGGCCTTTGAAGCTTGGCTAATCAAAGCGAGCAAATGAGCCACGACGAGACGGCTCGTATATCGGGTTTGGTTCTATGCGTTTATATGCGTTTCAAAGTCAGTAAATGAAGCACGACCAGCTGCCAATCCAAGGCATGATCCATCCTTCACTGCGATGCTGTTTCAGTGTGGCGGAAGCCACGTTTTGGAGGTCTCAGCTGGGTTTTGCATTTTACGTATATACATAGAATCATATGTTTTATTATTCTGTCGCCATGCTCTCTTCTGTGTGCTGCCAGCCAAACTGCCTCTCCCATTCGCTCCAGTCACATGCCCCCAAAAAAAGGGGGTCGGTGGCACCAGGGCGGTAGCCCTACTTATTATGCATAGATATTTGTAACATGGGAGCAGATACATAACTTGGGTACACTATATATATATATATGCATATCAATATAATTATATCTATATATATATATTGTGTAAATATCTTATCTTAGTATGTAAGCTGCCTCAAACCCCAGGGCCATTGGCGATGCCGTTTTGCCTTCAAGATCGACCGCTGCGATCCCAACTCCTTCTCCAGCGCCCGCAACTTAGCGCCGGGTGTGAACCGGAGCCCGGGCGGATGGAATCATGAGCTTCACCGGTTGGTGAATGGTGGTTTAACCATGAAAAATGGTGGGTTTAATGGGATTTAACCAACAAAAATGATGGCTTTAATGGGATATACCCTCTGGTAAACTAACATAGCTATTGAAAATGGCCATAGAAATAGTGGATTTTCCCATTAAAAATGGTGATGTTCCATAGTTTTTTGTATGTTTACCAGAGGGTAATGGGTGAAACTTATAATGGGATTTTATCACGGGATATTGTAATGGGATATCATAACCTCATCTTTTACCCACACCTGTTTCTGTTTGCTTGATACATGTATATAATGTAATATAATGTCTCAAGATTATTTCACCCAAAAAGTTGGATGGTGTAAGATTCTAATTCCTCAAAAGTATCTAAGATGAGTCCACATTTGCAGATCCATTCCCCATGGGCCACAGCAGTTCCCGTCCAGCACCTCATCGTTGAGGTCGCTGAGCTCACTCCCCAGCACCTAGGGCTTGTCTGAAAATATGGAGCTACTGAGCTATCAAAATCTATGGGGGGTTACCAGCAAATATACATGGGTGAAACATTGTTCAGATTCCCAGTGAAGACTGATTCATCAATATATGGTTTGGACCGATTGTTGTTGGGAAACGACCAAGATTCTAAGATCTCAATGGTTTTATTATGTTTTATCAGAATCCTCCTGATTATGCAGTGTTGAAATAGCTTTTCGGGGGATTATTTGGGGGATATCCTCCATTTTCAGAGAAACAGAAACCGGTGTTGTTTGTACCAAATCGATCAAAAAAGCGCCCATCTTTTTTCACTTTGGGCAGGGCGGATTTGCTGGGTCAAGCGTCAAACATTGGCGTATCCATAGAACGAAACAAAATGGAGGAATCAAGGACGGAAAAACCATGGGAAAAACTGTGATTGGAACCAATGCTGGCGAAATTCAAAGATGATGCCTGATGGATGTAACATGATGTAACCCACAACTGTGGCGGAGTTCAAGAATGATTTTTTTTCCAGCAGGTACAAATCAAGCTTGGGAAGAGAAAAGCTAGAAGGTTCCTTCATGTTCGATCCAAGGCATCCTTGTGGTCGGAAAGGTTCCGGACAGCTCCATCAGTACTGATGAATCAGCACAGCACCCATTCGCGAAATGCGCGGATGATAGACGTCTACCTAGGTCTACCTAGGGGAAGATTCTTGCAGCTGGAATCTGTTACCCAATCAAACCTGGCAACCGATTTTGTTAAAAAAAAAACCGCCACTGGAAAAGCCTCCAAATGGATATCAATAATCATCAACGGCTCATTTCGCAGCTTTTCATGACCAGATCTTACCAGGGTTTACGTCTGATGGACATGTCGACATCTGTTTCTAGGCTCCCGAGCCGAAACGAAGAGTAGGAGTAGACAAATCGCCCGGCGCATCGTCTGAGGGGTCAAGAAAGTGGGTTTACAGGTGAAAACCACCATGGGGTTGAGAAGAGATACTGGCAAAAAAATGTTCTTTTGTTGGCCTGCGCCTCAAAAATGAAGGCTTGGCAAGTTGTGAATGCCAAATTCTTCCAACAAACAAACTGATTCCACTACACAGCTCAAGATTTGCAGCTCCCCAGGATTTCGGAAACATCGGAACAACAACGGGAACATCATTCATAATTCTTGCCTGCAATCAACCGTTCATCCACCGGTTCCGGCTGAATTCTCCAAGTCCAGAGATTTGACCCACTTCGAACCTCGGGGTCGGAGATGGTATCTTTCACCGCAAAGTTCTCCGCTCCCTGAACTCCGCCAGAGCCAATCGCTGCGCGTCCAGCATGAATGGAGTGGATGATACGCAAAAAAGTGGATGATCTTCGGGGATATCATGGGAATAAATTGGGATATTATACATATATATATATATATAATTATATGTACATTATATTCTACAGCCAACAATATGATATTTGGGTGTATCCCTCAAATATGCATGACATCTGTATGGTAGATCCATGTAGATCCAATATTTTAGATGCCAAGATTCTGGATGAACGTTGACCCCATGCCATGTCGGGTCGGCTGTATATGTGTCCCATCCCCAGGATTCTCTCCTTTTTGGATTCAGCGGATGAAAGTTCGGAAAAGGACGCCTAGTCACTCCGGTCACTCCGTTTGAGTGTGCTGGTAGATCCACCCAAGGGGGGTGCGAGAAGCCATCAACCAGATTGTTTGAAAAGAGCAGCTGCTTTGAAGAGGCCTTCCAATTGTCATTGGAAACTCGCTTTATAATGCTTTATATGTTTGACATCAGGGTCGTGGTAGTCATGATAAACCTTCATATGGGGATGGTACCACCCCAAAGTTGATTGGATTTCCGTGACATCATGACATCCACCTCAGAGAAGGACTTATTTCATGAATTTGGACCTAAATTCATGCTGTAATTTCTCATTGTGGCAGTTCATGGCAGTTCCATATTTCGCACACCCTAGGCCAGTAAGTGTGCTACGATTTTTCTCTGCCGCACACGTCAGTACCTTTGAATTTCGTGCGCGGCAAGGCTCGAGAAAACCTGGATCCCTGGGTGGAGCTTTTGGCGGAAGAACGACTAGCAGACCCACAGTGAGGATCAGGATCATCCAACTCCAAGAAATTCCTGAAAAATTGAAATGTGAAAACCAGCCCCAGTGGTGAAATATGGTGAAATCCACAGTGGCTCCATGGTTGGAAACTTAGCGTCTGATGAAATTTGGGAACATGTGAGCCATTAAAAATACCCCTATCCCATCTCATTATACTAGTTGGTTGATAGGTTTCCCTACTATGGGTTATCATCAACCCCCAGTAAACCAGGTAGTATAATCCCTATAGCAATCAATTAACCAGGCTATTTTTAATAGCTGTCAAGATCTCCTTGATGCTCCATGAGGGGGGTTGTTACATCGGAAAACCACTGACAGTGCCTCGGCACAGCCGACATGGGGACCCAGGTGCCTGTTTCAGACAACTTGCGAGTCAGCACCAACTGGGCCGGCGATGGCGTAGGCCTGCCATACCAGTGCATTCAGGTCTTGGACTACTAAGACATCAACTTCCCAGCTCCCTCACCCCCCCAACCACCCCAACTCCCCCAACCCCCCTCCGCCTTGGGCGGCGAATGATGGTGGGAGTCCATGCCCGTGTCCTCGACCTCCTCGCTGATACGCAGCAAACCGGTGCATTTCAGGATGCAGAAGGCGGAGCCGCTCAGCACCCCGGACCACAGGCAGACCATGAGGATGAGAATCCTGAAAAAATTCGAAGCCTATGGGGATGAAACTGGGAGTCGAGGGGGGATTGTTGGGGGATACTGGGATGAGCGGGGAATCCACATCAATATTGAGGATTCAATGGCTTCTCTAGGGGTTTTGCGGAAAGCGTGTTTTAAACCCCAAACACAGGGGTCCTGTCATTGTCCATTCCACCAAGTCTGGGAAAAACCTATGAAACCTCCATCAAAAAGCCTATGATTTGATGAAAATTACTAGAAAGAACCAAGAAAATGGGGGGATTCTTCACTTTGGGGGAAGTTTTGAGCTGCCAAACCATCGATGTTTTTCGATGGATGATAGTTACCCTGGGACACTTCAGGATCCACATGTGAAACACCCTGGGCAGGTCAATGAAGTAAATGTCCTGAAGCCGTTAATATAGGCAACCGTCCCCATTCAATGTGACCAAAAGAGAGGTTTACTGCATAATTCTGACTGGAATAAATCTATCATGAACTTGAACCATAGGCTTCCAAGATGTCTGGTTGAAGCCATCAACCTGCCCAGCACCTGGTCTTGAATTTGCTGAGAAATGTGATCCCAAAAAAGAACTGGGACTGACTTGCCATACCATCCAAAGATATCCAAGTGCTTCATAGCTTTCCGGCTTCCCATGAGGATCGAATCGTTGGCCATTGTAGTACGGTAGGGGGTACCCCAATAGCTATGCTGTCAATGCTATCCACCTGTACCAGGTAGCATAGATTCATCCACCATAAACCCTAACTTACCTATATATACCCATATAGCCTATCCATGCGACGTTACCACAAATTTTGGTTGGTTAAATCACCATTTCTGAAAAAAAAAAACGGTTTTTGCTGGTGTATCCCAATGTTTGATGAAAACGTGGTGTTTTCACCCAGGCTTTCAGGTGTGCCCAGCGTCATGTTGGATCCGATCATGGTGCCCCCAATGCCCTCGATGCAGGCGGTACTGCCCTCGGGGGTCTTACAGCTCCAACCACTGCCGTTGAAGTAGTCCACGCCCTGCTCCAAGATTGGGGACGAAAGAAATCGGCAGTTCTGGCCAGGAACCCTCTGGTAAACTAACATAGCTATTGAAAATGGTGATTTATAGTGGATTTTCCCATTAAAAATTGTGATTTTCCATAGCTATGTTAGTTTACCAGAGGGAATACGGATTTGGAAGCAGCCATGCCGGAACCAAACCACTTGGTATATCGATTTTCAGTTCAGATCTGTAGTTTCCAGCGGCTTTGAAGCTGAAATGGGATCCGACCAAGAATGGGATAGCAAAGTTACCACGAATCCGATCTTTGGTAGCACTCATACAGAGCATCATTACCCAACTCTCATTGGATTGGTTTAAGGGGAAAATTACAGGAAACTCCATATTTCATGGGAAAATCTATGGTTTCCTGCAGATTTTCCCTTAAGCGTATCCATTGAAACTCAGTACGCTGGTGTTCGCATATTTGGACGGTGGACACCAAAAACAGTCCAAAACACTGCCCAAAAGTGGTGAATAGGGATCGACATGGATCCAAATAGATCCAGGGTTGGTCTGAAAATATGCGACCCAAAATATCCGAATACGGTGTACCGGTGTACCCTCATTTTCCCTATGAAATGGGCCACATAGGTATACGGTGTACCCATTATTTTCAGACACCATGGGGGATCCCCATGGATCCCCAGTCACCATAGGTTTCAATACGAAGTCATGGTCTAATGTTGGATGGTTTGGGGGTTCCCCCATGACTTAGGAAACCTCCAAATCGTTGATAAATGATGATTAATGATTCTGATCTATAATTATGTATAGTTAGATTATCTATATATATATATATTTATATATCCTCTGGTTATCTAACATAGCCATGGAAAATGGGCCATTTATAGATGTTTTTCCCAGCTAGAAACCTCCATTGATAAGGGATTTTCCATGGCTATGTTAGTCATAACAAGATGGTATATAACATAGATTAACATAGATATTTCAGTTAGATGGTAATATAGATAATACATATATATATATAGATAATGTAACTATAATATATATATATTAACATAGAGATTCCATGGTTATTATATGGTATAATATAGTTAGATGGTCCCCTAAGGCCCCCCACCATACCCTGGTAGCTACCAGGGCCCCCCACCTTGCCCCAGTCGAAAAAGGCCGCGGCCAGCACGCCCCAGGCGCCGCAGAAGCCATGCACAGGACCTCTGCGGAATGCTGGCGCTGTTTGATTCATGGCAACCTTTGAAATGAAAGACCTGAGAATTCACTGGAAAATATTAAAAAATGATGATGAAATATCATGAAATATCTGGGTATTTTTTTTTAAAAAAAATAATAATTCATTCACCTGAAACTGAAGGCCGCTGGGGGATGAATCCCCTCACCACTTTCCATTTTTATGGCGGTGCCCCTACTAATGGATGATTAATTGGGGCTACCCCCATTGTAGGAAACCTCCAAAATCACTGGAAAAATAGATCGTTGCATCTTTTCGTTCTGTGTTGATTAGTTGGGATCGCAATCCCAAATTAGGGTTGAAGATGAGAAATGCTTGAAAGCACTAAACAAACATTGTGTCTTGGCCAGCAAAGTGTAGATTTCATCAATAAGTCTTCAGGACTTCAAGTCAAATGTCAGACTGAACTCTGGGGTCTCTGCGGCGTTGACCCAGCAGTGTCAGGAAACAGTGCACTTTCTTGGGATCAACTGTGAGGATCTTCCGGGCGATAGCAACTAAAATGCTGGTGGAATGGCGGTTCGTAAGTGTCTTGATTCTCCGGGGTGATTTTTGACCTAGGCTAGACAATGGAGGTCTTTAAGCAAACTGTTACCTAAGAATATCCTTAGGTACTAGTTCCCGCGTCAAGTTCCGCGAATTTCATTGGTGGAATCCCGATTTTTCATGGATAAATAATACTATATATATAAATAATAACAATAATAATAATAGAAAATAATGATAATAATAATAATGATAATAATAATAATAAATCCCACAAAATTGACCGAAAAATTGGGTCATCCAAGGGTTTTTATAATAATTGTTCATGGCTCAAACGTAGCCGGGCCACTAGCATCGACGGGATCATCGATCTTCAGCTTCACCAAGAGCATGGAGGAACCCTGGAGAGAGGGAATTCTCACGGGGGCGGGAGTTAACAACCCCAAGCTATCGCTCTTGGGGCAAAAAACTCGGGAAAATCGGAATGGATATCCAGGATATCCATGCACCAGCTTTCACAACAGCCCACATCCTTTCAACTGGGAGCCCCAAACAAAGCCACACAAACCAAGACCCCCTGAGACCCGATCCCCTGAGACCCGACCCAGTCTGGACATATATCACCAACCCCCTCATAGCCGATCGCTTCTTGACCATCGCGATTCATCGTGATGCTTCAAGAACCAATCGCCAGTGGCGCTGTGCGAAATTTGGGAAGATTGGGCCCAAATTTAAATCCACTTGTTTGTTGATCATTGGCGATATGCTGGGGATAAATCCCCCAGGCAAAGCCCCATTTTATAACCCATCAGCTAGGCTTGGTCACCAATCAATGCACCGGGGTGTCAAGGAACCTGGATGATTTCGATATATTTCGATGATTTGGTCCATGGCAAAATGGTGGGACCTCCAAATCGTTGATAATAAATGATTAGTAATGATTCTGATCTATAATTATGTATAGTTAGATATAACATAATGAAATTATTATTACCCTTTATTCCATAGACGTTCCATATCCCATCTGCTGCTTGACCCATCCCGCCTGGTAGACGAAAGCACCGATCAGGCCCGCAGCAAAGGCGCTGCCACACTCCATATTGGCGCAGCCCGCCGTGATGGAAACCAGGCCTGGTCAATCAGGCCACGTCACAATGGGGAAGAACCCCAAGTTGTATTTCTTTAATTGAGAAAATGATGATCATCCTTGGCGCATGGCCTGGGTTACTCTATCTTGAAGCAAACCTTGATATGGAGTGATGTTTTGACCATCAAGTTTGCAGCAAACTGTTTGCTGGTTGTTTACACAGGGCTGAGGCCCTGGCCTGCCAGGATGCCATTGCACAGGCCACCCACGTCGTATTTCTTGGTGACGAAGTACCGCAGCACGAAGACGGTGATGCCACCAGTGGCGGCCGATATGGTGGTGTTCATCGCGACCTGAGCCGCCAAGGCACCGGTCGCAGAGTCGTGCATGCCCAGGGTGCTGCCGGGGTTGAAGCCATACCAGCCGAACCACAGCGCAAAGGTGCCCAGCCTCGGAATCTGGGCGCTGGCACCACCCATGGCCTATCCGTTGAACCTCCAAACAAGCAAACTAGCGGCGGGCTCTGATTTTTCAGCACCTTGTACACCTTGTACCTGTTTCTTAAAGTCTTCAACTTGTCAATTTTTGGATGGTGGTACTATCCTCTCTCTCCCTGAAGAAAACAAAGGTCGCGTTCTTACCAACAACTGAACGAAATGTCATTCCACTGGGTTTGTCTGAAAATATGCTTGGAATCGACTGGTGAATCATCACGTTTCCCCTGCCAAAAACATGTTATGTTTATCTATTTTTGGGGGCGTCCCCAATTTTATTGACACAACCAACTGAGGCATCAAGTTGATCCAAGGGACACCACAAAGGGCAGGTTGTGGGCTTCGAACTCTTCGGGGTTCTCGAAGCGCCCCTTACGTGGCTTCAGGATGATGGTTCCCATCAGCCCCGCGACGCCACCGGTCAGGTGGACGATGCCTCAAGGGAAGCGATTTTGGCAAGGACACGGCACCTTGGAAGTGTAAAAAAAAGTGGTTGTATAGATATACGTGTGCGACAGATATGTCTATGTGATAATATATGTTGTTATTGTGTTGTTGTTATCATTATTTTTTTATCATTATTATCTTATGTATAGATATATATATATATGTGTGTGTTATTTCTGTGTGTTATTTCTGTGTGTGTGTGTTATGATATGTATAATATGTATATAATATATATATATGCCGGTGTCTTATCATTATATTCCTTACATATGTCTGGATAGAGCCCAGTTGTATACCAACCACTGGCCTTTCTGGGTCGAAATCCGATCGAGAATGAAAAAAGGTGCAGTACTTAGTATGGGAAGATGCAGAGATCATACAAGAAATGTTCAAATAATGAATAGAAAGTGTGTGTGTATATATATATATATTATTATATATATATATATGTATCAACCGTATTATGTATATAATGCCTGGTAGATCAAAACCCAGCATATCATTATATATCATTGATATCATCCACTATCTTGTGGATGTGATAGATAGCCCTTAAAGATCCCTTCAACAGACAATTTTCATTTGTCAATTGCCCCGCAGCTGGGACGAGCTGCCGGTAATTCTTTACACTTTGCGAAGTAAAGAATCATGGAGTCATGGAGAATCACCATTTTTGATAAGGGAAATCTGTTTTACAGGTCACTTAGCCAAAAGTAACCAACACTAGCGCGCTTGTTTCTTGAGCCATCGCATCACAGTATGTAACACATTATATTATGTACAGCTAGTAATACAAACTACAAACACCCCCCGCCGCCCGCAGTTGCGCGGAGGACGGAAGATGTAGCCCGACGGAGGTGACCTGAGATCGGGCAGGAGTAAAAGACATCACTGTACAATGAGTTACCTACGGATGCATAGTTGGTCAAAGCTCGATTGCATGAGGCAAAATAGAGGTTCGGATGCAATGCATTTTCAATCCAGGCGTGGCACATGTTTGACAGAGACAAAAGTGAAGTTGGCCTGGCTTCCGCCAAGGCATAGGAACATTACCATTCCTTTCAATCGCCTTTGGTTCGGAAACTACTGTATCAGGCTAATCTACACGGCATCTGTACACGTGCAACTACCGCAAAGGATCGGATGCTGGTGTCAATGTCTTTAGAAGCAATTGGAAAAGTTTTTCAAGTTAATCAAATTGAAATTTCAAGTTTTGGAAATGTGTGCAATTTTGATTGAACTGAATGACCATGGGTCAGCTTTCATCCAATCGGCCAAACCTTCCGGTAGGCATAAAATCATGGCATAAGATGTGAAACATCTACCAAGATTCAAACTCTACCGTCCCATCATTGTAGGTGCGCTTGAAGTGCGGCTGGCCGTTGATCTCGCAGTACTCCTCAGCAATCACAACTGGTGCACGAGGTACCTGTCGTGGAGGCTCTGCTGCAGGAGCTGATCCAGAGGCAGCTTGGGCAGAATCGCCAGCAGCTGGTGTTGTGTCAGGCACAGGCGTCGCTGTTGAAGGTGGCTGCATTGGCTCCGGAGGAGCTGCCGAGGAGCTTGATGCTGTCGATCTTCCCCAAGGGTCAGCAGTCCAACCTCGGCCAGAGTAGCCTTGATTCCAATTCCAGCTTTGCCATTGGGCCTGCCCTCCCGAGCGGCTTGAGTAAGATCCATATGAACCCCACTGTTGCCCTCGGTTCCATCCACTGCGGCACTCAAAGGATTTGTGGCCATACTGACCGCACTTCCAGCACTCAATGGCCTGCTGAAAGATTGGGCGCTGTGGCTGACCATAACCCTTTCCTTTGCCCTTGGCTGGCTTCTGAATCGGGTCAAAGTGACGCCGGTATCCTTCTCGCCCTTCGCCAGTACCCGTCTTGGAGGACCTTGCCAATGGAAACTCAGCCACATCTGATGCAGTGGCTTCATCAACGAAGGAGTGTTCTTCACCCTTGATGTTATTGTATTGTTCCTTCCACTGCCTCTTCGCAAAGTCGACGAGGTCAAAGAAACAATCTTGGGCTGACGCCTGATCCACAGGTAACATTGAGCCAGACCATCCAAATAACATCGGCGTGGGTTCCCCCCTCGCTTTCAGCAAGTCCGCAGCAAGAACAGCAAATTGTGGGAGTGTGAAAACACGTGCATGATGTGCAACCATGGCTTCCTTTGTAACGTCCAACGGGAGTCGGATGTCTCTGTTGAAGTCAGGCATGAAAATCAAACGAGTGCTGAGACCTGTTCCCAGCTGCTTTTCTCGCTTCTCTCGGGTACGGCCGACATCAGGGGCAATACATTTTGCCAGATCCTCCAAAAATTGACAACAGTCGGGGGTTATCTGGCCAACCGCATTGTTGAACAAATAAAGTGGGTCCTTCTCCATGCGGTCCTGGATCGATTTGAAGCCGAGCTTTGTGTATCTTCCCGCATGTGTCTGAGCAGCGTCCTTGAGATTTCCGAAGTTACTTCGTCCAGCTCGACGTTGATCTGCTCGGGTGCGATCAGAGACTCGCTGAGCACGTGGCTGCTTCTCAAAATCGATCTTGTCCAGGGAAAACACCTTGTTGGTTTTCTTGGCCGAGATTTCCATCCGGCATACCTCTGTCGCAATTCTTCCATCCGACCAAGCGATCAGCCATTTGAAGCACGACTGACACTTGTGGGTGCCCTCAATGTTCTGTTCGCCGCAGAAGTGGCATCTGACCTGCTGCATCTCAATCTTTGAGCTGTAGATGTAATCCTCAGCATTTGTTGAGCGCTGGGCCAGCCCTCCCGGGCGGCTTCCTTTTCCCTTGCCTTTTCCCCGGCCCTTGCCCTTGCGGATGGTTTCGGCATTGGACAAAGCACCAACGGAGGCCATCTTCAACGTCACTTTGTCTTCAAAGGGTCCTGAATTTCCTTCACGTCGACGAAGAAGTGGGGGAAGCTCTTCCGGAGAGTTGGTCATCTGCATCTGGCCGGGTCGAATGGACTTGCCGCTCATGAGGTAGGCCTTCAAACTGTCCCTGGCGTTGGCATACGGGCTCTTTGACAAGGCTTCTTTCTTCGGAGTGTCCTGGTCCTTGTGGGTCTTCATTTTGTTGTTGTACCCCACACGCGTGATCTCATAGGGGCGATTCACCCAGGCAAACTCCCTGTTGACAGCATCATATGTGCAAATGATGTTCTCGTTGGAGATCCAGTCAGGGCTTATGATTGCTTCGTCTGTGCGAAACAATCGACAGCCGCTTTGGACGATGAGCTCGGTGTCAAAGGCAATGTAGTATTGCTTCCCGGCTCGCGTTCCCGCGAGCTTTCGGCCACCGACTGAATCATCCCATGGATGTGACGCAATAAAGAAATTATGCGCCCTTCCTGTTCTTTGGGGCCAGCCACCTGGGATGAGACCATGTTCAACTATCTTTTCCATAGCGAGCCTGTCGCAGCTATGGTAGATAACCCTTGGAAGTGCAGCCATCATCTCCGGCACAAGGTCTGGACGAAGATTTGTCCTTGGCAACTTGGGCGTGTCGAGGTCGGCCTTGGTAAAGGTTGGATCCAAAGTAAACACTTCCTTCACCAGCGATGAAATTTTGGCATTTTCCACCACTGCACGGTTGTGTCCTTGGACTGCTCTGATGGCGACAACCTTCCATGGCAAACCCTTCCAGGTTGCTTCAGGCAAATCGGGCTGAGCCACTTTCACCTGGAAGCGCCTGGTGTCACTGTTGCGCACGATGGACAGGACCTCACTGATCTTCGGGTAGGAGACGTAGTGGGCCATCGTCTTCATCACTGCCTCGAAATCCATCGAAAGATCCATGGGATCGATGTCTGGGCTGCGAGCACCATAGCTCAATGCGTGTCCACGGAGAACATAAGATAACTTTGTGGAAAGAAATCTCAGTCGCCCTTGGCCGCAATACTCCTTGGGAATCCTGTTGATCATGTCATTGGGGTCCAACCATACTGATCCCTCTTGGCGTTCCGTCGCTTCTTCCAACTTGCGAAGGGCTGCATCAGCTTCGACACTGAGTCGCGGCGCTTTCTGTCTGGGCTGCGCTTTGGACTCTGGTGCCTTTTGCTTTTCACTCTTCGGCATTTTCTTTTCGGCCGGCTTTCCAACTGGCTTGTCAACCTCCACCTTCTTCTCGGTCTTGGTCAGGTCGACAATGGCAGTCTTGTCAGCAGGCGGTTCGGAAGAAGCAGAAGCCTCGGGAACTGCAGCATCAGTCGGCACACCCTCCCGGGCAGCATCAGCACCTTCCTTCTTCTCAGAGTCAACGTCCATGGCAGTGGCTTCAGATCCACCAACCTCGGTCCATGTTGAGATCCTGGAAGAAGTCATGTCGCTGGGCTTGGACTCATCACCACCAACCACACTCCATGTCGAAATCCTCGATGAAGTCATGTCCTCCCCTCCTTGGTCAACCTTTGCGGGTGCGTCTTTTGCAGCAGCAGGGTCATCGGCCGACGTTCCCGAAGGCTTTGCCTCAGCGGATGTGATCTCAATGATCTTGTTGAGATCGGCAACCTCTTTGGCTCTTTCCTCCGAGATTTCATCTTCCTTGACCTTCTCGTCATGGGGATTGACAATGATCTTGTCATCCAGGATCACGTCCCACTCGTCAAACTCGGGAACAACTTCAACATCATCTTCAACATCAGTGTTCTCCGGATTGATCTCGATCGACTCAATGGTTGTAGTTGAGAAACCATCAGCAGCGGCCTGATTCAGATCTTCTTGAAGGTATTGTCGGGCCCTGACTTCTTCGGTTTCGTAGTCCTCGATCGAAGGGTCAATTGGGACGATGGAGCTGATCTCTTCATCAGTGAAAGCAGTGGGCATCGGCCTTCCCTCCCGGGTGGCTTCCTCGTTGGCCTCAAGAATTCCTGCATGGACCCACATGAGGATCTCCTCATCTGCCTCATCAAAGACCTGGGCAGGGGTTGCCGTTTTCTTCTCAGTGGAGACGGCTTCCATGACCTCTTGAGTGCCGAGCA